AAACTATAATATGTACTATACTGTATAGTTGTACTGTATATATATATATATTTAAATGCTACCTGTGTGATACCTGTATATAAATAGTATATGTATAAGCAGTGGAGGGTTGTAAACGCAACGATTGAATCTTGGGTCGTGGTGTGTCCAGGTCCGTTTTCCCTTAAACTGAGACAATTGCTCGGCTTGCTCGAGGGATTGTCGCACTCGTAGCCGGCACACAGCCGAGCTCCCCGAGTTCCTGAAATCCTACACAAGGCAGTCAATTTAAAACCAGATGGCCACACCACATCCAACACTCATGGTGACATGGTGTGTCTGGTTCGCCAACTTCAGGAAACTAAAACACCTCAAAGGATCAGAATCACCTCAAAGGATCAGAATCACCTCAAAGGATCAGAATCACCTCAAAGGATCAGAATCACCTCAAAGGATCAGAATCACCTCAAAGGGCCTGAGTCTTGAGACATACAGGAAACATCAGATGAGACGGATTGCTTTCCCAAGAGAGGTTGAACAGCCCTAAGGTCGCCTATCCCATATGTACCACAGACCAGGATCCTAGTTCAGGTCTTTCAACCTCTGTTGGTCCTGGAATTTGTTTCCCTCAACCTGTGCCTTGGGATTCTTGCGGTTTGGGAGATTCTTCACGCCCAAACATTGGGAAACAAACAATCAACTAAGCTCGCAAACCGGGGGCGAGCGGAAGTTCTACACCACTCCCAAAGTGTTCCATCACTCAAACCAGGTTGAACTGAGGAACCGTGGCAGTCGTTGCTACTGGGATACTGATGCAAAACAGCGGTTCTCCTCTACAAGCCCAGGGGGGGTAAACTTCCAATGTGATGTGTGATGTAGTGACCATGCATTGGAATGGACTCAACAACCCAAACGGTGAGGAGCAAGAAAATCACCGGTTCAGTCGTGAGGACCGCGAAGAGAATATGGAAATCAACCACCCAAATCATGTTACAAACAAACACAATGAACAAGGGACCGTGTTTCCTTTGATTCCTTTTTGGCAGATTCTGACCTTGCCCCGCGCCACGCCCGGAAGCGGATTCTCTGATCCGTCCGGAACTCCAACGGCGTCAAAGGCGTCGTAAAGGACGTCGCCCACGAACGAGCACCACTGGCACCTATATATTAATATAGGCTTTTGTTGAGATCGACGCTATATTACCTTGTTTGCATAGGTCAACTTCTTGCTTTCATTCAACTTCTGAACAGTCTGATACTCTCAGCATCCACTGGTCCATGCAACCAAAAACCACATGTCTCTCAATCAGCTGTTCTCTTTGCTTCGTGGCCTTGGGCGACGTCATGGGCTGAGGGGCTCAGCAGCGGAGGGCGCCAAGCAGCAGGCCCACCAGGGAGCTTTCTTTGGAACCTCAAGATGAGCTGGTCAAGACTTGAGCCTCACTTTGCTTTCGTTTAGCTTTGAAAAGGCCTTTTGGTGGTGGATTAAGTATAATCCCAGGGGTTCGGTCGCCCATGCTTCCAGCATGCACGGCTGTCGTGATGTTCTTCTTAAGCGGACTTGACTGTCCAGCACGGTTGCACAACATCCCACAGACTTGAGATCTTCCCTGGCAGAAAGATTCGTAAGGGGACAATGCTTCAAACTCCTTGTATCTTCGAGCCAATACTGGGCGAAAAAACAGGGGGAAGTAGGGGTTCTAGCCTTTCAGAAGGGCAGGGGAGGCTTTGAACTACACCCAGAAGAACTCCAACCCTCTTCAACGCTCCCCCAGTTCTCGCCCGGCAGCGTAGCCGCGCGCGTTGCGCGCGGCTCCAGGGGCAGCTCTGCGGGGCACCATTTCGAGAAGTTCAGCAGGTTCCCTGCCGGTCAATGCGTTACAAAAAAGGCATGCCAGGTGGTCTGAGGAAGCTCAACTGTGCTATGAGCGCTTCATCTGTCCCTACTTCGTCCAAAAAGTGCCCAGTCCCGTGTTTCCCCCGGCTCCGTCTTCTGAGTGTGCTTTCGATGACTGGCTCCTTGGTACAGTGCCGACTCCTTGAACGTCTCTCCTTGGCACACAACAATCCCAAACACTCCACGCCGCCACATTGGGGTGGTTTTGGGGGTCTTAATGTATATATTGCATACATGGAGTGTCTGGGAATGTCTCGCACCAGTCAAAACATTGAACATGTATTCATCTGGAGCTCTGAGGACTTCGCTAGCACTGGTGCGAGACTGGCAAGGTAAACCATAGTTCCCCCACTGACAACATTGGTTTCCTTGCTGGAGTCGAACGATGACTGTGCACCGGAATGCACACCCAGTGTCCGAGGTACGATGCTTTCTATCGACGAAAGTGATCTATACCAGGACACCCCAAGGGGTCACCAATTATTTGTTGTCACCCCAAGGGGACCGGCCCTATATTACATGTATATATACAGTATACAGCCGGGAAAATCAACATGGAACCTGAAAATGGACTTTTGGAAGACTATTTTCCTCTACAACCCAGTGGTTGTCAGGTTCGTTAAATTTCCAGTGTGTATCTGGAGCCTCTTTAACAGAGGCTCCCGGTAATACCTTTGAAGTGAACATCTTCCATCCTGTTCTACGTCGATGTGTCGTGTCCATCCAGCGATCCCGAGTCGGCCTTGGGTGTGAGTCGCAACGACCCCGGCGAGAAGCCTCAGATGTGGACAAAGCTCCAGTAGATGATATGACCCTCCCCATCCCTCCCCATCCCTGCCACAATGGAAGTGGAAAACCATCCGTTTAGTATTTAGCAACATTTCTCTTCCCTTCTGGTGCTATGTTCATCTATGGTCCACTTCCATGCTTGGAGGGAAAGCAGTCCCAGGAACATCCCAGCCACTTTGTTGTTTCTTCTCGGTGCCGAGCCGCCGGATCCGTCTTCGGGGAGTGTACGAACATGTCGAGCCGACCACCCGAGCCGGTTGCCCTGTCGAACGAAACACGCCGGTGAACCATGAAGTGATTGCACCGGAGGCGCCGCGCCCTCCAAAGTTCAAACGGTCTTAGCAGCTGTCGAACATGTTGTCTCCCGAGCTGGGAGCTGGATTCATCCACCTTCGTCTTTCGATGTTACTCGCAGCTTCTTGTTACTAGTAGTAGTAATGCCCTTGTTACGAGTAGCGGTGCACCTTGTTCCTCGTAGCTTCGTGTTGGGTTCAGGGCCTTTCTTGTGGGAAGACCACGAGCTCGATTTTTTTGGGGTCTGGGACGTGAAAAAACGGATCTCCCAAGAACAAGTGATGAGACACAAACACATGACCCTAAAACACTGCAAGTCTGGTTTATAATTGTTATATTTGTTGGCAGCTGTGCTAAGATGACGTTAAACAAAGACAGAGATACTGATGACTCGAGTCCTTTGATTGTAGTTCTCTTTGTTGACAGCTGTGTTACATGTGAAATGCCCAAAACCAACATCTTGAAGTGGTAAGAGAGCTTTGCTGAAGCTGCAGATTCATCTTCTTTGTTCTCGGGTGGCCCAAGACCAAAAGGTGTGCAACTTTTGATCAAAGGGAACGCTGATACCATCAACATCCATCAATGCACAAGCATCAAATACTTGAACATACTTGAACACATGGCTGACTGCCTTGTGACATTGTTGTGGATTCAAAAGCTACGATTGACCAGCCTCACTTCAGCCCAGAGGCCACATGCGCCACAATGCTTTCTCCTGAGCAACGATCATCGAGAGGCCAAATGCGTGGCGTGCGTGTAACTCGCTCAGGCCAGTTGGTTGGAAGGTGTTTACGCCGTTGAACAAGCCATGGCGACGGGGTTGCGTACTGGAGTTTGGCTGTTTGGGATATTCTTCAAGCTTCGGTCCATGGATAGAGAACGACCCATTGCAAAATTGGATGGTGATGACTACGCATCATATAATTGTGACTGCAAACGTGCCAGAAAAGCAAACACCCTAAGAATCCTTGGGCTCTCCATGGCAGGGGTTGGACCCTCCATAGCAGGGGTCCGGGCCCTCAAAACAATATCTGTTTGAGGGCCCTGATTCTTAGGGAGAACACAAAGCAACACAAACAGAACACACTTAGAGCAACAAACAAAAAAAAACAACCCAAAAAAAAATATTCAAACACAACTTAAAAACAACTCAAATTGACACTCAAGGACAAAACACACACACAAAGCAAAACTCTAATTCAAACCATTTCAACACTCAAGCTGGGATATGGTTGCTGCAACGGCAGTGGTGCTGGCTTCTTCTGAGTATTGGTGTGTTTCCTCATGTTTCTTCATGATAGTATCGCTTTCTGGGAGTTGCCGGTCACAAGAAGTCGACCGAGAAAAAAGAACAACTCGTTGCCGTTCACAACACTCGTTGCCGCTCACATCCGGGAGCCTGGATGTTCCTGATTTCACACATGGGCAGGGGTCAACCAATGCAAGAACACAGGGAAGCTATGATGAACAGTTCCACGACAAACATGGATCTATAGATCCGAGTTAGAGTGACCAACTGGTCAAGGAACTTCTGGCTGCAATTGCTTTTCCTCGGACCTCAAGATCTGGACCCGCGATGGTGCCAACCCCCCCAGACCGACATGGATCGAAGCTTCGAGCCCTTGGAGCGAACGAGGGCCCTGCTTCAAAGCCGAGCAGCGAAAATGGTCGAAGTCGATCGTGGACTCACTGGTGAAATGGTGCTGGGCCTCGGTGTGGGAGAGGAATCAACCAAGAAACCATACCCCAAACACGACCTGTCTGGGACTGCCATAGGACTGCCGAGATGTCTGGCCAGGGGTGGTTGGGGAGGTCAATGATGTCAATGTATGCATATTCCAGTCCCATGGAGTGTCTGGGTTTGAACCGCATGAGTTGCTAAAAGTTCCGTTGCTTCAGTTCCAGGATTTCCTATCATTCTCCCCCTCAGTCCCCCAGCTAAGGGCAAGACATTCTCTACCACCAGGTCAACCATACCAAAACTTCTTCTTCCCACTCATATTTCTTCCAGCACCACCCATTTCGGGTGGATATTAGATATTAATACCCTAGGGCTCCTGGCCTATATCCTCAGGTTCGGTGGTTACACCCCCCTGGAACCCACCCCTGCCCCATCGAAACGAAACGGAGATGCACCCAGGAGCCCACCTCCGTTTAGATGGACAATGCCTCATCTTCATGGGGGGTCGGCCTAAGCCACCCGACCGGACCGTGTGCTGCTGCGACCGTCGCCCGCGAACACCGCCGCCGGTGGCCGTCGGCCGTCCGACCTCGCCTCGACGGCCATGCTGTGCACCGCGTCGTCGCTCCAGACCTTCTGGGCGTCGCAGGAGCGGAGCACGTGCTCGATCTCCTACGGGCGAAGCCGGCTTCGGCCGGCCGGGTGGGTGGGTGGAAGGCGTTCGGAGGTAAGGGGTTCCCCCCGGTGGCAAGGCGAGGTTGAGTGGTTCGAAAAAGCGATGTACAATAACTTGTTTTCTTTTCAAGTAGTTTAATATTATTAATATTAGTAGCAGTAGCGGTTTGATCCATGAAGATCCAACATCAATGTTTCCTTGTGCATCTTGCGCGTTCTCTTTTGGGCAAATCAAGGCCTTGCAAGCTCCCTTCCGAAAAATCTGAAGATCCACAACCCGAACCCAGCGGCGGCGAACACGCTGCCTGAAACACCTGCAGACTCTCCTCGTCGACCATTTCGGAGCTCGAAACCCCAACGGCACCGGCCGGGTCGCACCCCGGGGGGCCTGCAAGGTGATGACGCCATCGGGCTCATGATTAAAGGCCTCCGCCACGGGTGGAGGGTGGACGGATGTGGACTGTGTGAGGGAGGTATAATGACATGGTCTATGAGGGACCCCAACTATGCGCATGCTTCTTCTCTATCATAGAGTCCATGCATATGCAACAGATTGCAACATACTGACCATACTTGATACCTATCAAAAACCGACTCCATCCGGCTCAAAAGTCACCGAAGTAAAACCGACCCAAACTCTCTCGCTATACCGAAGTCCTCGGAAAACAGCCCGTGAGATGAAAGGATCGGCGACTGAATTTCTACCCCACAAAACTCCATGGATGCCCTATAGGGATCCAGTCATACCTTCTCAGGTGCGGTCATTGGAGACACTGTTATGTAGGTGCCAGGAGGGTCCAGTCGTACTGAACCTGAGAAGGTACGACTGGATCCCTAGAGATGATGCAGTATATCACAAAAACTTTTTTGGCCACCCTCAGCGGTTGGCTGGACTCCATCTCTTAATGATATACATTGACCATCATTGACCCCCTCTTCAACCACTCAATGTAGCTCAATCTGCCGTATGTCTGGATATGTCTGGAGACAGCCCCATCACTCATCACTAGCCCCATCCCATACTAAGTATATGTCCAGTCGTGGGTCCAGTCGTGGATCTCTCACCTCGAAGGCTGCCATTAAGGCACTCTCTTCTTGGAAGAGGCGCTCGCCTACAGCCTTGGCGCCGGCGGAAGACTCACACATAAATGACCAGGAGATTCACTACAAGAAAAACTTGCGAATGTGGAGACACAACCTGGATTGTCTAACGGTGCAAAACTTCTGCCCAAATTTCAAGACCATTAGCTCGTGACCTCTTTGGAGTCTCTACACGACCTCTTTAGGGACTAAGTGACCTCATTCTGGGATCCCAACTGGGGTCACTTTGAAGGTCCTGGTTGGCAGGTTCATAGTTGAGTCAAAATCATTGGCCTACATGTCTTTCCTGGCATCTGTCTTTTCACAGGCTTTTCTCCTGCAATGCGATGTCATCTACCACGCTGCTCAGCGCTGAAATCGGATCTGTTCGTCTATTATCGAGTCACCAGGACGGACCAGGCATCGCCACATGTGACCACCCTAAGAGTAAAGCTGCTAGAACCACTTGTTGTCCTTAATGTGTGTGGGATCCAGTGGGAATTTGCTAGGGCAAAGCAACAAAACAACCTGTCTTCCTTTTTGCAGCCTCTCAACGATTCCTTCGTCTTCCGTCTTCCTCTGAAAATCGCAGCGAAACGGCCGAGACTTTCCTTAGAACTTCTTGTTCCAAGAGGGGAGATGCCATCCTGGAATCGAAACGAAGGACAAGGACGAAGGACAAGAACAGGTGCAAGATCTGGGCACCAATTCACAAGAAATAGGAGGTCATCCCCAAAGATATCTGGTCCATTGGCACCCTGGGGGAGGAAACAAAACACATCTTTCTTGACCATCTGACTGACCATATTATGCTATCCTTACCCCCCCGGCACTTTCGGGATAGGTCCGGGCAGCAGCGGCCACAAATTCCGTGTAGTCGATGGTACCTAGTCGATGGTGCAGTGACCGTGAGGATCAGAATCGGCAACTTTGGTGGGGATGTTGCTTGGCCGCTGATGGGATCTCTCACCAGCTCCAATTCACCAGAGTTTCCTCAGATTCCTTGTTCCTTACCTGCAGGACTACCTGCAGGGCAGTATTTACATTAACAAAATTTAGTGTATATATATAATATAAAAAACATCTATAATATATCTAATAATCTATTCATAAATATGTTAATATCGAGATATATCGAGTTATTTGCTATGAGGGGTAGACTTAACTAACTTTGTTGTGTAATTGAATGGCACACCTCTAGATTCCTTCTCAAGTCAGCAAGATCTGTCTAAATGCTCCAGGGCCACCAAGGGAAGCCTGGTGGAAAGCCTTGGAGGCACCGCACATCCACCGGACGGATGCCCGGTGCCATGCCAAACAACACATTTTGGCCATTTCGACAAAAACCAACGACATATCATGGAATGATGATGATGATGATGATGATGATGATGATGATGATGATGATGATG